GAAAAGCACCTGGAAGCTTGGATACATATAATGTCGCTTCTCCAGCTGGGTAGGAAGCTCGTAAAAAAAGACTTTCTTAAAAAATGTGTCATGGTCCCAGATCCTAGGCAATGTTGTCATGCCCACATATCCTGCTGCATTTGGTATTCCTGCTTTTACATTAACTTACTGCTGGAAATTATGAGATGAGTACAAGCTTTAAAAGGAGGTTGAAGCAGAAATAGAAGCCTTGGCAGGAGTTTGATTTCTGAAATCAGGTTGAATGTCAAGGAGCATTTTCTCTGGTCAGTTCATTCATTTGTAGGGTTTTCAGCTGACCTGAGGTGTTCTGTACTTATTCTAGATAAGATTTATGGACTGATGTGATTAGAAAAAAAATAGCTTATGGACCTGAATATGCCTTAACTCTCTCAAGTACAAATCTCGAGTAAGATAAAATTAGTGTGAGAATGAGACCCATATTTCTTTCAGTTACATTCTAGTCGAAAGGTTATATTGTGGGAGTGGGAGAAAAATACAATCTAATAAATCATATATACTGCTTAGGCATTGAATTGCTTTTGTCAAAGTTAAATACATTGTGCATGTTTGGGTGAACCCTAATGCAAAGGCAGAGGTGTCAGCAGGATACAATCAAGTTGTGACTTGCCAAGCAGAGGTGCAATATGGAAAACCCTTGCCTGTTGTGACCAATTCTGTTTGGATTACTCATGAACATTTCAGTCAGATTTCTCACAAATACAGTTGAGAAGAACTTCATTGGCTCTCCTGTAGCTATTTGAGCTTGCTTCCCTGAAATAATACTACATTTGTGAATAGATCAATCTCTATATACATTCTCTTTTCCCTTATATGTTTGCTTTCATTGGTGAAAATAATTTTTGTGGTTTTTTATCTTGTCTTTAATGAGCTGTAGCTCATTGCAGTGTATTATGTATTATATTTGAAATACCAGTACAGATATGCCATGCTTTATAAAATGCAAGAACATCTCTTATATACGGAGAAATGAATCATTTCCAGGGAAGGAAGTTAAAATTATAATTCAATCAAGGCGATTCTGTTCTTAGTTTTCAGACAGGAAGTACACTCTCTTAAGGACATCTGAATCTTATCTGTAATTACAAAGTTGTCATTCCTTTATACAAACAATATAATTAAGCAATGCAAACCATTAACAGAATAAAAGAGGTTAAATTGCCTTTTTCATTCAAAACAGATTCTAATTAATTCCTGACAGAAAGTTGTTCTAGTACAATGCATTATTAGTTAGTCTCACTGCTTCGACTGGTGTTGATGGGCTAAGCTACAAAGGCCGGAGGTGGGTAGGTACACTTCCAACTAATTGCTGATCAGAGTTTTTCAGGTGCCCAAATTTGATACCAAATCACATACTGCAGAACTTGAAGGTTCAGCTTTAGAAAAGGAAGAAACAGGAACATGCTTTCATGTTTTTTTTAAAGAATTCCTGCATTCTTGTGCTTTTAACAGTCTGCAACAGTTGAGCATATAGTTTCTTGAGTATATATTCACTGAGAATGGCTAGTTTATCTTAAATTCCAAGATCAAGACCCTAAATACAAGACTCAAGACTGTCAAATACACCAGAAAGCTGCTGCAGCGCCTGAAGAAGCAGTGTGAAGCAAGCAGGAAAGCTGCTGCTTGTCCTTTATGAATGGTGGCTCCACAGATCACAGTCCAATCTTCTCTGTTCATTTCTGAATGGCAAATAAGCCTTCCTGACTGCTGAAGTTAAACCACCTGCACTGTTAGAAATTGTCTGTTTTCCATCAGGTCTATAGGACATTCTATTCTTTTTTCTTGGTGACATGTTAATGCCAGTTTTGTTTTGCTGGTAACAGAAATTTATTTTAGTTCTTCTTTTGCAATATGGATAAAGAGGTTTCTACAAACACACACTCAGCAAATGTATCACTGTGTTCCAATTAATGAATTAGCTATTCAGTGCTACAGTAATTCACTTTATCTCTAACCATTCCCAGTGAATTATTTATATAGTGACATTTCTTTATTAGCAAACTGCCATTTGCATCACTTCTACATTATTGCTCTCATTATTAATTGTGCTTTTAATAATTTTTTAGTGCTTGTTATTTAAAGAAAAATGGATGGTGCCCATGAAGCATTTAGCCTTATCTTAGCTCTATATCCCTAACACTACTGCCAATAGCACGAGAGTAGATACATAATAATTTAACTGGCAGTTCTTCCCTTTTGTACATTCCCTTGTCTCCTTTTCTCTGCTGTATGCCAGGATCCCTGAGTTTGTTCTGTAAAAGCAAAGAATGTTTCCATATTAATGACTATTTAAATAACAGAATTATGTTGCTATTGTACTTGGTTCTTTCTGTCCCAGACAATGACTATGAATTAATTAGCATTAGAACCTTGGAAATTCCTATGAATCTTGACATTTTATTTGGAATAGTCTGTGTGCTTTATTGAATGATTTTACACCTCCTAATGCAAAACTGATGATATCTCTACAAACCTCTGGGGGAGAGTGTGAAGTCATTAAAGTTAGATTTGCAAAGAAAATACGTGGATTTCTCTCTCACATTATTCTTTCCTGCACTGATAATGCTATTTTTGAGCTCTTGCTTGGAGTGGCTCATTTGTATTGAAAGACTCTCTTATCTTTTATCCTATTCATCTACCTTTCCAAACTTTTCATTTTGTAAGGGAACTGAACTGAGGTTTTTCAATACTTAAAACATACTTACAGGAAAATGAGAACTTACGTTTTCAACTGTTAGTGTTATCTCCAGAGATAATGGTCACTGAAAGGCAGCCCAGTGTGAAAAGCAAATGTACATGTCAGAAATGAAAATAACAATTTATACCATGTCTCCTTCCTGTCTTTATCTCTGGTAGTTTATTCCCTCTGTGAAGGAGGATTCCAGAAGCAACATTGGTGTTTTGACATCCAGGCATCTGCATGGGAAGAAAAATAACGAAGTTTTATTAAAAATGTTCCCTGGAATCCTAAGTTTGTTCTATATTTCTACTGATTGTTTGTTAGCATTTTTATTTTTAAAACAAAAGGTTTTTAAATTCATGCATTCATGGGAGCTCACAACATAATTAGCACCCTGCCAGTGACTGAGGGAGAAATGCTGGCAAACACAGTCCCTCCTGAAAGCAATGAATCCCTCTGTACTGCCTGCTGAGCAAAATCTTAGTGTGCTAAGCCAGGTGGATTGCTTAAAAAGATCTTTTTTCCTTCAGAATCAGATATTATATCCATAACCAACATTTTTCTGTTTTAAAATAAACTTTTTTTTTCAAAAGCGAGTAAAAACATGTGTTTAGGCTTAAACTTACCACTCTGTATTAACAAAATTTGCATAAAATTTATAATATTTAAGTAATATATTCTTGATGGTTTGATTCTAAGGAAAGCTATTGAACAGGGAAGGAAAACATTGTTCATGCATCCAGAACCAAAGGTTGTTGAAGTAATTAGTTAGATTTTAACAGCAGGCAAAAGACATGTTTTCTTCATTTCAGTTTGATTTACTTCAATAACTAGTTCAAAGTTAAGGAACTGCTTAGAAATAGAGTAAGCTGAAGCATCATTATCTTTAAATGGTCTATGAATAAATTCTCAGTCTGGGATGCTGAGACTTATGAATTCATTCATTAACTGTATAAAAAATTTGCTTTGGTAATAAACCTGTTTTAAGTATAAAATGTTTGATACATTTTTCCACTGTATACAACATATTTATTCCAGTTTTATTTAAATAATAAATATACTTAAAAGGCTTGGTTTTTGCATTTCAATTGAATTCCTATTTCCATTCCAAAGCAGCTTGATACGAGTTGTAAGTAAATAAAAATTAATCTTCTAGTAAAGAAGAATTATCATTCATTTCTAACAGAATGCTATGTAAATGTTAAGCATTTGAATAATTATGATGAACTACATCGCTTCTTAAATGGGAATGTAAGGTATTTTTCGGGTAGTGTATGGAAGTAACAGATTAGTTTAAAAATTAGATTCAGTTGCAAAGCAACTTTTTTTTTTAAATTTACCTACTAACAATAATCATATTCACTTGAGGAAAAAAGAAAAATACACATTCAAAATAAATGTAGAAAAGTTTTTTTTTTTAAATTGTTTTATATTTGTTGTATTTTCAAGTGAATAGTAATTATTTTCACAAAAATAATGTTTGTAAATCTTATGAGAAATCCTTCTATATTCAGTTCTTTTTGTGGAACACATTTGACAGGTTTTCCAGAAATATTATAGTTCAGGGCCTTATAAATAAACAATTCTGTGATATATGGGAGACAGAATGGCTATATCAATAGTAAGTCATAACTCCCTTCTTTAAAAGGCTCTGTACTCAGAATTTTAATTCATTGGAGGATTCCAACATTCCTAAACTTAATTCCCAACTGGAAGAAAATAAAAGTTTTGACATTTTCTACTTATTAAAATTCTGTTTAAAAGTGGTGGAAATATCAAAATGGGCAATATTTTTCCCTCAGCAAGAGTAAGGCAGCTAGTTTAAACTTTGATGCAACAAGAGTTACTTTAATTTATTTTAAAAATACAGATTTATGCTTCCATTGCTATTGATTTAGTTTATATGTATACAATGTTGATGTTTTAATTAGAAAGACTTGGTTGCTTTATATTAGGCTTCTATCAAAGTCAGAAAATTCATATTCTTTCTTTAAAACAATAACCGCAATGGGTCCTGCTAAAATTGCTAGAGAAGCATTTTGGAGTGTAGTTTGCTAGCTGCTCGTGTTTGTGTGTATCCAGCACACCAGTGTGCTTAAAAGGGGAATGAAATCTCGGAAGTAGAGGTCCATTTCTCAGTGCTGGCTGAGCCAAAGGAGGAGTAAGAAATTTTATTATGTGAGTGGTGAAGAGTGCATTTAAAGCAGCAAGAATCTCACTGGTTTCAATTAAGTGCTGATATACTGACAATGCCTTAACTGCATCTCCTGTTTCCTCCTAGGTCTTACTGCTGCAGCATCTCTTGTATCCCTGGCTTGGGCTTTGGCTTCCTACCAAAAGGCCCTCCGTGACTCCCGTGATGACAAGAAACCCATCAGTTACATGGCTGTTATAATCCAGTTTTGCTGGCATTTCTTCACAATTGCAGCAAGGGTTATCACTTTTGCTCTGTTTGCCTCGGTTTTCCAGCTGTACTTTGGGATCTTCATCGTGCTGCACTGGTGCATCATGACCTTCTGGATCGTCCACTGCGAGACAGAGTTTTGCATCACTAAATGGGAGGAGATAGTTTTCGACATGGTTGTTGGGATAATCTATATCTTCAGCTGGTTCAATGTCAAGGAAGGAAGGACACGCTGTAGGCTTTTCATTTATTATTTTGTGATCCTTTTAGAAAACACCGCCTTGAGCGCTCTCTGGTATCTGTACAAGGCCCCACCCATCTCTGATGCATTTGCCATACCAGCACTCTGTGTAGTGTTCAGCAGCTTTTTAACAGGCATTGTTTTTATGCTCATGTACTATGCCTTCTTTCACCCCAACGGACCAAGGTTTGGGCAGTCGCCAAGCTGTGCTTGTGAGGCCCCTGCCACTGCCTTCAGCCTACCCCCAGAAGTGGCAACAAACACTCTACGGTCCATCTCCAACAACCGGAGTGTCACGAGCGAGCGGGATCAAAAATTCGCAGAGAGGGATGGGTGTGTGCCTGTCTTTCAGGTGAGACCCACTGCACCGTCCACACCTTCATCCCGACCACCAAGGATTGAGGAGTCTGTCATTAAAATCGATCTGTTCAGGAACAGATACCCAGCATGGGAGAGACACGTGTTGGACAGGAGCCTGAGGAAGGCGATCCTAGCGTTTGAATGTTCCCCTGCTCCTCCACGGCTACAGTATAAAGATGATGCTCTTATCCAGGAGCGCTTGGAATATGAAACCACATTGTAAACAAAACAAAAACACAGCTTGAAGAAGCTCCAATGTTGCAGTCCAAATTAAGGGTTGACAGTAGGGCTATAGGAATAACTAAACTGCGTACTACAAGTAGAGCAGCAAGCTGTAGTGTTCTTAGTCTGGCTATCATCATGATTATCATTTGATCTACTGTGTACAGTCTGTCTGCAGGACACTGATACAGCAGCATCACCTGAAAGCCTCAGAAAAACCCAGACCCTGACCCACTCATACAGATCAGTTACTTCAGCTGGGGAAACTCACCCACGACTCCTTGCTGCTATGAAACTCTGGCTGCACAGTACTTAGAATCAAACCAATAGGAAGGCTCTGACCAGAGCTTTCCACTTTAGCCAGTAGTGCATTTTATTTTAGAAATGAATGATTGATATTTGTATAATCAATGGCAAAAACAAACAAACAAAACCTTTTCAGAATTTACAGAACTGTAGCACTCAATGTTGCTGTTATGAAAACTGTTTTCTGGGAAAAAAATAGGAGCATAGTAGTCTTCAACACTCCCATAAATCAACCATTCAGGTTAGAATAGGTTTGCAAAATAGTTCTTAATTAAAAAGATACATCACCATGTTTGTAAGGCTCTCAATGGAAAATAAACTAAATTCTTATTAATTAGGTCATAAACATCAGCACTACCGGAACTGTTTGTTTTCTGTGGAATTTCAAAGTCTTTTCAAATGTGATTTAATTTCTTTATGTTACTTTCAACAGAAACCCTATGCAGCTCACTTCTGGTTTTCAGGAGTAATAAGGAGCTCTAGCACATGGTGACGTAAATTAAATGATAATCATGATTCAGTGTTCAATTTGCAAAAAAAAAAAAAAAAAAAAAAGTAAAAGAACAGGGAAGTATAGTTTTCATATTCAAAACTTTTTGGAGCTCCCCATTCAGATATTTCAGAAGAAACTACAAGGAGATGAACACATTGAAACTTCTCTGTATCAGGACTGAGAATGCATGATTCAGTATGTGAATGTATGCAGGGGTGACAAGAGACTGTGACATGCCATACCCTTCTAGTGCCAAACATTGTATAACTGCAAGGTTAATATTGCCTGAGGGACAGATAATGAGTGGCATGAGCCCTACCAGAACAAGAAGCAGGAAACACCAATCAAGTTCTCAATGTGTAGAGACAATTCTGATTTTACCCACCCAAGGTGAAAGTGATGTCTTTTAAAGGCTTTCAGCCACCTCTTAGTAAGTATATTCACCGAAGTATAATATGAGCAAGTTACCTGAAAGACCCTCTTCTGCCTGTTCAAGACTTGTGTCCAGATACGTCTAAAAATTACGTTGAATCTCTTGTAATAGAGTGCTTTTGCTGCAAGCTTTTGGGTTTTAAATACCTCCCTAAATCTAGTCAATAGTATCCTCCTTTATGTTAAAAGTATCCCCTGATGGTGCTTTCAGATGCATTAAAGGTGCAAGTCAAAATTTGATAGTATTTTTTTTAAAGCTGGTGCAGAGTGAAAAACTCATGAATTATTTCGATATTTTTGTAAAGTAAAAATATGGTATTAAAAGGTTACTTTTTATAAACCTTAAATCTTTTAATACATTTCATTCTCTTTATAGCTTAGATTTTAAGAATTGGTCCATGAATTTTATCAACTGGCCTCTGCAGGTTGATATAAACCTGATTTTCACACATTATGGATTTGTTTTACAGTGTAATGCCATATGAAAGCCTACATGGGTACTTTTAGAATACGCTACAAACCGTGGATCCTGCTTCAAATGTAAGTGGCTTGTAAAGACACCAAGCGGTTCCATAAGAAACAATTTGCTATAACTGTTTCCATCCATTTTTAGGAGTGCGAAGCAGAGCTGAAGAGTTACTGTTGTAAATGGCATTGTCAGGATGGAGAAGACCTGATGATTGGTGTTGTAACCTTCACTGTCAGGTATATCCAGTGTAGTCACTGCTGTATATATGCTGCTGGGTAAATTTCAGTCTTTCCTGTTATTAATTTTTGTACTGTGACATGGCCGAGGTTACACAGCCTATGTTTATTTGTATGCATTCAATTAGCCATTTTTAATGTTGACTTTTTTAATTAGTGAAATGTTCGATACCTGTTCTTTGCTGGGGCAAGTTCCTCAAAACAAAATATCTGTGGAAGTGCAGGAATCTGCAAGTCACAGGGAACTTTACACAGATCAGAAAACACCTGTGCTTCAAGGGTTTCTTAGGTATTTTCAAATTAAGCAGTGGCCAACTGCCTCTATGGTAATTTTTTGAATAAAATAATTATTTGATAGTCCAAACTTGAAGCTTTGTACAAACTGATTGCCCTTCTCTCCACGGAGATGTAGCAGATTATTCACAGAAAACACTCACATTTCGTCAGAAAATATAACCCTGCAAGAACTACTGAAAAAAGATTTTGGAAGCAAGTCCTTTGTCCTGTCAAATTCAGTAGAGCCTTCACTCCAGAATCAAACACCAGCTCACACAAGGCAATTGCTGTTTCTCTTTACAAACAAGGAAAATTATAAACTTTGTAACCCAAGATGGGAGGGTTTCTTTTGGAAACAGTTCGATGTGTTTGCTGCTGCTATAACAACTCAGAGATCTTAGCGCAAGTGAGGCACAGTGGGCAGCGCTCTCAAGCCCTTTGATCAGGGCTTACAGAACTGAAGAAATGTTGCTTCATACAGAATTGAAAGGGTTACAGTCTGGACCAGTGCTTGCATTGCAAGGTTTCTGAAGAAGGTTTGGGGTGAGTTTGTTTGACTTGCTCTTGTTTGGTTTTGGAAGGAAGGACACAGAAGCATTATTTATCCATGTGGTTCTTAGTATCTAGCATTTACTTTCTTTACTCTCCCAGCATTTTTAATTATTTTTTTAATAATGTTTGTAAATTTATCTTCAACAAACTACTGCAGGATCTCAATGCATAGCACCATGTGTGGCACTGCGTCTACACAGCTTCTCTTCAGAATTCAACCTGGCTGCTTGAGAAAGGGAGAGAACTCCTTTTATACCAAGTCAAAATTTTCTCTCCAAAATCTTGCTCTGTTATGTTCATAACGTTAGTGATACTTGCACTGAGAACAACATGGCCATTGAAATCTTAAAGCTCAGATGACTACATGGACAGTTTCTTAATTTGCTTTGCTGTGAACAGTTGTATTAAAAGCTGTAAGAATTTTTTATAAAATTTGTCAAGATTAAACATAGTCCATGTTGAAATCCCATTATGGCCTTATAGACAGTTAGTAATCAATATGCACTATTCTTTTTACCACAGACAGTTTTAAGATCTAATACTAAAGTTCAATTAAGACAGCAATAGCAAAAAAAAAAAAAAAAAAAAAAAAAATCTTAACTTCTGCCTTTGAAGTAATGAAAATATCAGGTCTTTTAAATTTCATTTCAGAATAACATGAAAATGAAAAAGTTCATAATTATATTCTGGTAAAGAAAAGCAATCACATCTCTTTGTTAGAAGTAAGAGTCATGTAAGCATTGTTCTAATGAATCAAACAAATTTTCCACCAGATTTAATAGTAACTTATCTAGTTAAAGACTTGGTCCTAAAATTTTGAGAGTTGTGTATTTGTATGTTACAGAAAAGACAATTAAAGTAGTAATCACTACTCCAATTAGACAGAGGTAATTCAGACCCATGGTCATTCAGACAACATATAAGAAAATGTGAGATAAACCTTTTGTCTTATTTTAAAATAAATTTGTTCTATAAGATTATAATCTTTGAAAAAAAATATTTGAAAATATGTGCAATACTTTTTTCATGCAGATTTAGTAATGAAAAAACTCATTTCCACTTTTGTTTATGTCAGTTTAAATATGCTTCTTGTGCTAGAACAACGTGTGTCTGCTTGGGTCATATGGGTTTGATGGCATATAAACACTGTTTTCATTGGCAAATCAACAGATTTTCTATTAATTAATTTCTATAACATTGAGAAGATTTTCCTTCCAAAATTAAATGCTAGGCCTCAGCTGCCTGGTTTTGTAAACTTCTAAGCAGAGGAGGTAAATTCAAATTTTATTGGAGCTCCAATTTTTAATATGTGGTGAATAGCTATTAAACCAAATTTTTTTCAAATATTCTAGCTAATATGTCATTATCTCCCCATGAATGGTACTAAAAGTATGACTGCTGCTTTATTTGGAAAGGGACTCCCAATCACACAATATATGTATTTTTTTTTATTGGCCAGCAAATATTCGCAACTAGCCTGTTGGTTTGTTTAGAACCCAAATTAAACAATTTTGAAGTGTTTGTGATTTGATCATACAACTCCTTAAGAGCGTTAAAAGTAGCACTGTATGAGTTTTAGTTGGCTCTCCCAGTAATTCAGCTCCCAAAGCCACTGGCCTTTCTCCACTCCATCCCTGAAGTCGTGCAGTCCGGAGTGACTGTGAAGCTGTGATTTACTCTGTACCCCCCGCACTGCCTGCATAATGCCAAGGAAAATACTTCAGCAGGTTGCTGGGGTCCTACTGCTGCCTCTCTTGCTCCTGTGCATGGTGGGAAGCAGAGTAAATTGCATTTGTGCATCCATCTAAACAAGCTTATTTAGGTTGGGTTCCTTCAAGAGGTGCGTGATGAAAATAATCACAACACGTGTCCATGAATTTACAAGCCCAACACTGTAATTACTAATTCTGTAGTATAACAATGCAGAATGTGGGAAGAATTGTCTAACTATACAATAAGCCATTTAATTTTGCTAATTGTAGCAATTAGACTAGCTCGCATGAAGCCCATGCTCTCAGCAGAAAGCCAAATGGAGTAAGTGGCAAAGAGCCATTTTTATACCAGAGACATTACGTTATTAAACCCTCCCTTGATTGTTTATAGAACTATGTCTTTTCATTAGGGCATTTAATCCATTCCTCTTTATTCTGATAAAACAGATAAAATGCAAAATGAGAACAGATTCTTTTAAATCTGGGAATTAAAAAAAATCACAACAGATTACTGCAATTCCTATA